CCTCTCCCCACCTTCAGGCTCTCCACCACGCCCTTCACCACCTCATGCTCCAGACCACTGTACTCCCCCTCAGTGTTCTCCCTGCGCATATGAGAATGCACGCGTCGTTGTGTGGATGGGGGGAGAACGCAGCGTGCAGGCGGAGCGTCAGCTGAGCGTCAGCTGAGCTTGGGGCCTGCGACATTGGGCCTCAGCGGCTCCGAGGCGGCCAGAAAGGGCCGGCTTGGAAGCTCTGACCCAACATGCCTGGCTTCTGAGATATCCTTGGCCTCCCAAGCGCAGACGTTTTGGCGCTGGTCCAAGCGGGCCGCGCCGCTCATGTCGGATCACGCGGATCGCATGCATTGGACCCCACGTGACCTCGCCTGATGGTGACGAGGTTGACATTGTCGTAGCGCGTCTTGTAGCCCGGCAGGCTGAAGCAGGGCCGCACGTTGGCGTACAGCTGCAGCTCCTTGCGCAGGGTGAGGTTCAGGGAGCGGAAGCCCTTGCCGATGGGGGTGGTCATGGGGCCCTTCAGGCCGATGCCGTTTTTCTGAAGAGGGGAGGGGCGGCGTGGAGGGGAGGAGGGGTGGGGCAGCGGGGGGCGTGTGCGGGGCGATGCCGACGGGGCGACAGAAGCGGAGGGTCTGGGAGTGGGCGTGTTTAGACGCAGATCCGCGGAGAGCAGGGCCGCGTACCACCGCCAGCTGCATGGCACAGCCCGCCCTGTGTCGCTGCAAAATGCCAACGGACAAAGCACCAAAGAGCAGGTGCAGTGACCGACAGCGCCCTTCTGCGTTTCTCTGCTGGTCAGTTCTGAACCTCATGGTACAAACCCAGGGGCTCGCTCCCCCCTCAACAGGTTGGTCTGGAGCCCCTGCACAGGCCGAGACCCATGCCCATGCGGCCGGCACAACAACAACCGCGGGGTCGACGACGCATGCGCCTGCGGCCGCGTCAGGAACCAAGCGCCCCTCCCCCTCCTCCTTGCACGCGCGCCCTCTGGCGACCCACCAGCACCGAGTCCAGGTTCTCCCGCGTCACAAAGCTGTTGGTGCGCTCGTCCACGGTCTTGCCCAGGTGTTGCACGTCCCACTCAATGGGCGCGCCGGCCGCCTCAAAAATCTCCCTAACCGCCTCCGCAATGTCCGGCCCGATCCCGTCGCCGGGGAACAGCGTCGCGGTGATCTTCTTGCCCGGCTCGGGGGCGCTGCTGAGCGCGCGCCGCTGCAGGTGCGCCGCGGCGCCGAGCAGTGGGGCGGCGGCGTGGGCAGTGCAGCCGGAGGCCGCGGCCGCTGCGCCCTGCAGCAGCAGGCTAGCTCCCTGTCGTAACATGTTTTAAGCACCTAGATCAACCTTTTCACGACTTCAGAAGCCCTTGGGGTTTCGGTTCACAAGATAGGGCTCGCGCTGCGATGAAAGAGCACGAGGTGGGGCGACCGACAGCGCCTTGGGTGAGGTGAAGCCAGCCACAAATTGCTGCGAAACAAACAATCAATTACGCGGGCGCCAGTATTCAGCCCCGCTGCCCGTGCGGAGGGTGATCTGCAACACTGACTCCGGGAGCGCGAGACCAGCCCCTCCCACCTGAGACGCTTTTATAGGTTGGCCCAAACAATGCGCAATGGACTGACCAGCGCGTGCTGGCCCCGAAGATCACCTTTCCTTGCTCACTGCTCACTCACTCTGTTTGACTCACCTCCAGTCTGATCCCAACAGCGCCTACAGTGGAACAGATCAGGCAGGGTACAGGTGGTTTGAATTCCTACCTCGAAAGTCTGTTGGCAACGGCCGACGCCAGGGCCGGCACACTGCGCATCAGCCAGCCCTTTTATCCTTGCCGGTCAGCAACCATGGAAATGCAAGGGGTGAGGGGCAAAAACTGTGGCGTCAGTGATAAGAACCTATCGCTACCTTCCTCTAGGTTTGCGACTTTATCTTTCGAAACAGGACTGCAAACAGGGGAGCTTGATGCGCGGGCCTGACTGCCTGTGCTAGACAGATCCCGTATGGGCGTCATGGTCTCGAGCCGTGGTGCAGTAATGCAGTCCTTGTGCTGCAACACGGTGCTCGCCGTGGTGGGTGACATGCCTCGACCGCAGGGTTGGCTTGACATTGCCTGTCTGGTTGCGCCTAAGCATGAACGATGATCACATCACTTGTCCATGCTGCCGCCCTGCTGCCCCCCCATGCTCAGGGGTTTGCCCACGTACACATGAGAGCAGCGAGTACTCTGTCCCGCACAGATGCCACATTTGATATGCATGGCGTTGGCATCACATGTGCCGCATGGGAAAGACAATGGTTGGCAACCTGCAAAATTAGTCGGATCCCTTGTCACTACAACAGTGACCTGCACACGCAAGGTAGGCAGTGGCTTGCTGATTTGCAAACCGATCAGCCATCTGTTGCGGGTCATACATATGCATACTGGGATGTGTCTGCTGTTGTGACTGGTCGTTCCTGGCTGTCAGGACTGCAGCTGCTGCAACGCAACCTGCAACACGCGTCTACCCCATTGCCTCCAGAACTACGGATATGTGAGCATGTCGACTTGTATGAATTTTTAGCCTTGCTTGTTCTTGTTTGACTCGCGGTCAGCTCGCAACCTTCTGCCAAGCCGCACACCACGTCCGTTTCAGCGATGGCAAGACGCGACAGGCAAGCAAGCCCAGAGCGACGGAAAAATTCCAGCGAAATCGCGGATCAGGAGGCGTTGAGGCACCCTACGTTCGGGAAGGGCTCGCTCAAGCACGTCTCCGCACAGGGCTGCCTACCGTCCACGTTAGGGTACAGGGAGAGAATTCTTCTGGCAAAAGACCCTCTGCTCCGCGTAGAGCTTGGCCGGTGCGGTCCCGGGGGCGTCGAACCCCCACCGGCGGATCGCTGCGCTGCTGGTGTGCTCTGAGGAACCGAATGCTTTCGTACAAGCGCCAACAATTGCAGGCTACCAACGCGTTGCATGCGGCAGCCGGTCGCACCGCCCCAACATACGGGTGTGCCCCTCCCTGGTGCCTCGCCGCCATGCGCTGCTGACACAGCATCTACCAAGGGGAGACGAACACCACCATGCCCGTCTGGGACCGCCTCTGCGCCGATGCGGGAGTGCGACGCACGCTGCCGCGCAATCAGGGGGCGACGCGATGCGAGGAGCAATGGGGGGCACCACCTGTCGCGGGGAGCGGCACGGAGCGGCGCTGCCACAGCGGGTGCGTGGGTCCGTCGATTGGGTGCGGGGGTGTGGAGTGCACACACGGGGTTGCTGGCACAGAACACCACCTGGCTGCACGCATGTGTCAGCCCCAGCACGCGTGAAGTAGCTGCATGCGTGCTGCTTTAACGCTGCGGGCGCCACACTGTGGGCTCTCACCCAAACATGCTCGCCCGGTCCCCAGGTGGGGTGCACCTCAAATGCACCCCTCTGCAACTTATTGAACAATCCCACCCCCTTACCTCGCCTGCATCATCAGCTTTGTCATCAACAACAGCAGCGGCCGGGAGGAGGCGCAGGAGCAGCGGCGGCGCGAGCAGGCGGAGTCCCAGGCGCCCGCACTGGACGCGCTGCACATGCTGACGCTCAAGAGCTACAAGAAGGTGCGACAAGCCAGAGGGGGGCAGGAAGTGCGATTGGCTGCATGCTGAGCGCCCCATTGAATGCTCAGAAAAGCTTGAGGAAGGAATGAGGCGGGGGGCGGCCGCAGTGCCTGATTTAATGTTGAAGTTTGCAGCCAACTTGTGTGACTCGCATAAAGCGGCCATGATGTAATGCTCCCCCCTGTACGTGCAACTTCTGAGCGCAGAAGTTCCCAATGGACTTCATGGCTGCCTGCCGGCCGCGCGCAAAGACGACTAACCAAACGCTGCGCATGATGGGCCTCTACGAAGGTGGGTGGTACAGTACACCAGCGATTGCTCAGATGAGGCTGAAGTTATTGAAGTGGCAGCGTCCGCCAGCACCAATGCAGGCAGCTGCTTTTGTGCAGGCGTCGCTCGTTTGTTTGGTCCTCGTTCGGGGTAAACAATCAGCAGGCATGGCTTGCATACATGGCTGCAATTGTATTGACAATTTGACGTGGAATATTGGCTGCTGCATGCAGAGGATGGCTTCTTCATGGCCAAGATGGGGGCCCAGCCACCGGTGGGCGTCACGGCGGGCGCGTTCCTGCCAGACATGCGCAAAAGGAACCCCAACAGGGCGGTAGCGTGCTGAGGCGTAGACGCAGCTGAATGGCCGGCGTCAAGGGGCGCGCTGCTGGTGTGGTGAGAGGCCACGTTGGGCAGCCGCAATGCACGGATGGCTGCTTGTCGCAGCTGATGAAATCGTGGCCAACGTGCCAGATGGTGACGCGTGAGCCTGACCTTGTGTTGGCTCTGTCCCAGGTTCCAGTCGGGCGGTTGCCTTAAGACCAGCAGTATCTGGACAAATTTCATACTTTTCGGTGCTTGAACTTTTGTTCCTTGTTCTGCTGCTTGTCTATGCGCGCACGCTGTAAAGTATGCGCGGCATTTGTTCTGTCGCTGCGCTGCTGGTGCGTGGTTGTAAGTAATCGCTGCTGACTCGTCCCTCTTGCCAAACACGCCCCACACCAACTGTTCATTCCCTATGGTCTTCCGCCCATCAACACAGCAAATGCAGCATTACAAGGCCGGACGCCTCGCCACGCCTGCGGCGCTCTCCATTGGACAATCCTGCCGTGCTTCTCACGCCGCCCCCGCTGGCGCGGGCTGCTGCCCCCCGCGCGGCCGCTTCACAATCTCGACCACCTCCACCTCCATCACCAGCGCCTGCCCCTCTGTCCCGTAGTTCGCGTCCAGCTCGACATGCTCCGACCCCACCGCGCGCACCGCGGTCCACAGCCACGCGCCGCGGCCGTTGACCGGGAACAGGAACACCTCGCCGGCGTCCGGCACGCGGCCCCCGAACTTTGCGGCCACGTCAGCGGCCGGCTGCCACCAGCAGAGCTCGCGGTTGCGGTAGAGCGGCGCCTCCTGCTGCGCCAGGAAGTCTGGGTCAGCGTTGACATAGGAGGAGGAGGACGCGCCGCCGTTGACAAAGGGGACGGAGACGACCTCCCCCAGCAGCGCGCCGGGCAGCGCCGCCTCGATCAGCGGCACCAGCGGCCGCCAGTGCGACCCGGGGGCGGCGACCAAGGCGTCGAGCGCCCGCGGGCCGAGCGCGGCGGCCGCGGCCGCGCTGCCGGCCCAGGCGGTGGCGGGGCCGCCCTCCGCGGGGGCGCCGACGCGCACGCGCAGGCCGCTGCGGATGGTGTCGCGGGTGTCGTCCAACGCAGCCGACGATGTTTCCAACCGGATGCTGACCTGGACAACCGCCTCGTCCCCCTCCTCTGCGGCGACGGCCGCCAGCCGCGGCCGCAGCAGCGCGTCGTGCATCCCGAACAGCGCCGCAGCCGCCGCGGCGGCCGAGGCCAGCACCAGCGGCAGCCACGCGGCCGCGCCGGCCGGCGCGGCGGCGGCCGCAGTGGCGGCGAGCCAGGCAGCCTCGAGCGCCACGGACAAGGGGGCCGAGCGCGATTCACCTGCCGTTTGCCGCTGCTGCTGCTGCTGCTGCTGCTGCTGCGCGGGAGGGGACACGGCATTTGCCGCTGCCAGCGCCTGGGGAAAAAACGCCAGCACCAGCGCCGCCACGCCCGCAGCCGCCGCCGCTGCCGCCGCCGGAAGCGGGAGGGCCGCGCCAGTGGTGAGCGCGCGCGCCACAGCAACGAGCAGCGCGGCCCGAGTCGCAGCTGCGTTGGGGCAGGCGGAAGAGCAGGGGCTGAGGGCAATGAGCGTGCGGAAGGAAAGGGACGCACTGCCATGCCAGTAGTGCAGCATAGCAGGCCTGAAAGGCGCAGCATCAGCAACATGAGCAACATGAGCACCAGCATTATCAATATCACATGATAACTGCCATTAACATCAGCAGCAGGAGTAGAACGGCACAGCCCTGTTGACAAGCCGCACATTTCACCCCTGGATGCGTCCCCACTCCATGCTCACCCAGGCCCCATAGCAACCCTCTGCTGCCGGCCGCCGCCGCCGCCGCTTGCGCCACCCCCGGCCGCCCCTGCAGCGCCCGCAGCCGCAGCAGCGCGCCCCCGGCGCCGCGCGCCAGCGCGGCCTGCGCCGTCAGCCAGGCGCGCGCCGCGTACGCGGCGGGCGCCAGCGCGGCCGCCGCGAAGAGAGCGCCCCACAGCAGGCCGTGTGTGTCGACGCCCACGGCCCGCCATAACGCGAGCTGGACGCCTTGCGGCAGCCCCGACGCCAGCAAGGACACCGGGTTGGCTAGGCCCTGTTGAGGGGGAAGAAATAAAGGGCGGCGGGAGGTGTGGCACCATGCGCCGCTGAGAAGACGAGGCGGCCGACGCGGCCGGGGCTGAACCCACAGAGCTTGAACAATGCAGCAGCACCGGTGCGAGGGTCGGAGGACGCCGCAGCGCGGCGGGCACTGCAGCATGGGCGGCGCCAGGCGCGCGAGCTCACCAGGCCGAGCGCCAGGCCGGCGCCCGCCGCCGCGGCAGGCGCCCAGCTCCTGCGGTCGACCGCCGCGGCGAGCCACAGGTCCCATTGACCGGCCTTTGCCGCCGCCAGGTCCGCAAAGGTGCTAAGGGGGTTGGTTTGCAGCTGCCGGTTCAAAAGGCGCGGGCTGCCGGGGGCGCCAGCGGTGGCGTACGCGGGGGCGGTCAGCACGGTGTCGGCCGTCGCCGCCGCCGCCCCCGCCCGGACGGGGCGCACGTGGCGCAGCGGCCGCACCAGTGCCTGCAATCAGGAGGTGGGGCGTTGCTCCGAAGTGTGTATGTACATCATAGGGTGCACTCAGTCTGCTCGCAAGGCAATTGCAGCCCATTCCCAGCTGAAGGCAATCACTTTCATCAGGTGTCCAGGTGCCCCTCAAAACAGCAGCACCTCACCATCGTAGCAGCAGGACTAAATTTCTTTCGCAAACCATCTTGCGCTCGCAGCTTGCGCATTGGGGCGTCTGTAAAGCAGTGCCAGATCAGTAACTAGCCTCAAGCCAAGGTCTCAGATACTTCTCTCCCTATATGGAATGAATAAGCTTGTTGAGATCCAATGAGGGTCGAACGACGGTGATGTGCGCTGTTCAAGCGAAGTCAGCGGGGCTGTGCCCTGCGGGAGCTTCGCACAAGCCTTTCTTGGCTCGGACAATGAACATGTTCGGTTTCGAGTGTGATTTGGTATTGACACACACGACTGGGCCCGGATTTACAGCCAGCAGCAATCAGCCCAAGACACAACGAGCTCCCAAACACCCGTTTTGTGGCCATAAACAGCTTGATTGCTGGAATAAGTAACATCCATCATCCGCCAGAAGCAGCAGGGGCGGACACAGAGGTGTGGCGCCGGCGCCCGCATCATCCGACGCATCAGCACAGCCACACCGCCGCATGCAGAGCCGGCGAAGCGGCGGCGAGCAGCAGCAGCCTGGCGCAGAAGGCAAGCAGCAGCAGCAGCAGACTGAGAAGGACGATGCAGCTCGTCAGCGGCATAAGAAGCCGCCAGCGCTTGTGTCGGCACTATCCGGCGGGATGTCTGGGGCCCTCATCAGCGCGTGTGTGCAGGTGACTTGCATCATTGGCAGCTGCGGCAGGCGGTTGACTTTGGCACGGACCTGCCCTCCCATCATGATGATGTGCCAGGGTCTGTTTAAGCAGCAAGCATGGCGCGGTGCAGGTGCAGCGCCTCCCACCCTGTCGAATGCCTGCGCGACACTGCCACGCCCCAGCTCCGCCCTCGCTCGACTGGCCCGCCACCTCGTGCGTCACCCCTCACCACGGCTCATTCGCCCCGCTCCCATCGTCTCGCCGCGCCGCGTAGCCGTTGGACGTCTTGAGGACGCGCATGCAGGCGGACGCAGCCCTGGGGACGCAGCGGTGCGCCGGCAGCTCCACCTGCGGGGCAGGGTTGGGGGGGGCGCGTCCTTCACACGACGGCTTAGAGTGCAAGGCTGGAGCTGCACGTCCCGTGTGCGAGCACACAGGCCATGCAATATGTCTGCTTGACGCGCATGCGGCGCGCCTGCGTCCAGCCTGTGACCGGACCCGCTGCCGACAACCCCCATCCGCGCCTGCGACCGCGCGGCGCGCAGGACGGTGGGCCAAACGGTTCGCGTGCTGTTGAAGGAGGGCGGCGTGCGCGGCATGTGGCGCGGCACGGGGCCGACGGTGGTGCGGCTGTCGCTGGGGGCGGGCATCAACTTTGTGGCCCTCGAAAAGCTCAAGGCCTTCATGCTGCACGTGAGCCAACCTCGGATGCAGGACCCACCGGGCCTGCAGCATCGCCAGCCGTGGTTTCACTCGTGCCATCGGGCACCAGGCTTGTGCTACGCGGCAGCTCTGGGGTGTAGCCCCGCGACGCGCCTGTTTTGGCTGGTGGAGACAATCACGTTCAATGTTGCTGGACGCAACAAACAGCACAGGGTGTCTGCGCCTCCGGGCGGCACACATGCTGATGGCCCCAGCCCACCCCACCGCCCTTTGATGCACCTGCGGCCCAGGGCCTGCCGGCGTCGCAGGGGCACCTCGGCTTCTTGCAGGCAGCTCTCGTGGGGGGTGAGCTCCCCAGATCCCGGAAGCATGCCCCATGTCTGCCTGCGCTGGCTCCGCTCGCTGCAGCGCCGGGTGCTGACAACCTGAGCTGTTTTTTTTCTGCCCAACAAACTCGCGTACGGTGCCCCCGCGTGCGCACTCCCCCAGGCATGTCCCGCGCCCTGTCTGCGGCGGTGATGTCGCCGGTCACCCTCGTCAAGACCCGCATGGAGTACGGCGGCCCGATGGCGACGCAGTACCGCTCCACGTGGCATGCTCTCTCGACCATCGCGGCGCAGGAGGGGCCGCGGGGGCTGTTCAGGGGGCTCGGGCCGACCGTTCTCGCCAACGCGCCGTTCTCTGCTCTGTACTACATGTTCTACACAAAAATTAAGCAGGCGGTGTCGCAGGAAGGGCGGCCTCAGGTGGGGTTGCAAGCGCCCGGCCGTCTGTGAAGCATGTGATGCACGTGCCGCTGTGGGGCGGTCAGCCCGCCAGGGCGTGCTCCTACGTTGGGGTGCCAGCAGCAAGTGCCGCGGCCATGGCCCACATAGAACCACGCCGCCTGCGTCCTTGGGTCGTGCCACAAGCTCTTGCACTAGCAAACTATGCCTGTTTGATCCTCGCGGCGACCCTCAGGTGGCGGTCAACCTGATGTCTGGCCTGGTGGGCGCGACGGCTGCGACGCTGCTGACACAGCCTAGTGACGTCGTGCGGACGCGAGTGCAGCTGGGGCTCGGCACCGCCGGCGCGACGGGGGCGGCGGCTGCGGCGGGGGCGGCGCGTGCGAACGCATGGGAGACGCTGCGGGCGGCGCTGCGGAGCGGCGGGCCGGGCGCGCTGCTGACGGGCGCGGCGCCGCGGATAGCGAAGCGCAGTTTGCAGACGGCGCTCGTATGGACACTGTACGAAGAGCTCGTGCCGGCGTTGTCTGCGCTGTGGCTTGCACTTGCAACGACGGCTCGGTAACGGCGATGATGGATCCAAGTGGGGTGGACCCCAGCAGACCATGGCGTGGTGCACAGCAGCGGGCAACTGCAGACTGGTCCTGATTTCCCGGTGACATGTGCCTGGAGTTGTACCGTAAATCAAAGTGCAGGTTAGTTGTGTCTGCCTTTACACACAGCGTGCATCCGATAGCTAGGCCACAACGACTTCCGTGGCCCGATGCAATAATACGGCAAGCTGCAAGGCTCCTCACTCTCCTTGTGTGCACAAGCAGCCGCTTCGAACTTTATCTGAAGCGCATTGACACTTCATCGCAGTACGCACTCAGGCCGTGCAGTAGGCGGATAAGGCTCGCACAGGACTGTGGCCGTGCCCCAAGTGGTCCTCCTATGGCTCGAACCTCTGTATACTGGTAGCCTGGCTGCGTGAAGAACGCAGCGTCAGACAAGGTCCTCACGCGGCTGTAGATCACCGCTGGAAGCCTCGGGATGGACGGCTTTTTAGACCAGCGGGTGCACCCGCATCCACAAACACAGCAGGTGTGTATGTGGTCTGTTGCGTGCTGCGGGTTAGCTCTGCGAGCAACGGCGACCCCGCCACCGGTCCGCAGCACGGCCCTGCCCCTCCTTGCAACACGCCCCGCACCCCCGTGCCGTGCGCGGCCGCAGCTATGGGCGGTCGTATCCGGGCAGGCGCGCATGGACCCGTCCTTCTTCCGCCGCGACTTGCGGCTGCCGCGGCACAGGGATGTGCGACTGGAAGAATTCTCCGCTTGGTGAGTCAGCCAGAGCGGGCCCCATCACAGCGTGGCCGCGCCGCGCAACCAACAGCGCAGCCGCCCCAGGCGCCCGCTGCCGCTATCCAGCGCCTCCCCAGCCCGGGCCACCCTTGAGCGGCGGCAACCAGCCTGCCGCCGGCCAGCCGCGGCGCTTGCCCGGCCTCCCGGCCGCCCCGACTGCCCCCGCGGCGCCCCGGATCACACTTTTCTTCCCGACCTTTGCAGGGGCCCGGACTGTGGCGATATGTTCTTCTTTCCGGAGGGAGCCCTGAACATTCTCTTTTCTCCAGTGGACAAGAACTTTAGCGTCAAGCTGAAATACATCGGCTTTGCGCCCGACGGCTATTGCAAGCGCATCAACGCGTGCTCGCACGCAGGTGCGCGCGCCCCCTGCCGCCGGACGCGCCGCAGCGTGACTGCCCGCCTTGACGCGCCCCCCTGTCCCTCCTGGGCGCGCGCTCAAACGCATTGTTCCAGCCAGCGGCGAGTGGAGGCGCGCCTCGCCCCACCTCCTCCACCTGAGCCCTTGGATGAAAACAGCGTCGCCCTGGGACCGTCGACACGCACACAACCAGCTGCCACTGGAATCGCTTCCATATCCGAGCACAAATTGGTTCCTATCTTGAAACGGCCGCGTGCGCCCGTCCCCGCAGAGTTTTACTGCGCAGTCCGGCTGCTGAACCTGGTCCGGGACAAGTGGCCGCGCCAGTTCAAGTCCTGGGTAAACCGGGTGTGCGCCAACGTCGGCAGCGGCGGGAAGCTAGGGGTGCCGCAGCCGCCGCCCGGCGCGGGCGGCGGCGGCGCCGGCGACGCGCCGGCGTTCATCCACCTGCTGACGCGCGGGGAGGAGGGGCAGGTGCTGGAGTGGCCGCAGTGGCCGCAGGCGCCGCTGGGCAAGGCGGCGGCGTACCTCAAGGTCTGTCGTTTTGTTGTGGTCGAGCCGTGCAGCAGGGGCGCGGCCCGCGCGGCGGCTGCCGGCGGCCGCCTGAGCGCAGCGGGGCCGGCCCCGCGCGGCCGCTCCGGGCGGGCGCCAGGGCCCCCCGCGGCAATCGCAGCAAAGGACGACTGCCGCTACGCTCGCCCCCGCGCAGCCTCGCTGGACGGGTGCCGCAAGCCCTCTCAACCCCCTCTCACCAACCTCGCGCCGCGGTTGCACCTGTCCACAGGCGCTGCACGCTGAAGTCGACGCAGCGGCCCGCAGCCGCCGCGCGCCGACCTGGGAGTCTGTCTGGACTGCCATAAAGCTCGGCATCGACTGGCAGCCGAAGGACGCGGAGTTTGCGGACTTGCCGGACCCAGTCCGCCTGGTGCGGCCGGTGAAGGAGGCGCTCGCGGGCGCGCTGTCGGTGACGGCCGCGGCGGTGGAGGCGCTGCGCGGCGGCGCAGCGGCGGCGCCGCCGCCGCCG